TTGAATACTTTCCTGCTCTTCCTCATTCCTCCACAAAGGACGAGGTAAGAGAGGAGTGCTGAGAGGTGGCAAAGCTGTTGTACGTGAGTGTCAACTGTAAGGAAGAAGTCTAAGGAGCTTGCAAAGAAAAGCGTCTGGGCTTCTTTAAGTTGCTTGAAGACGTTTCACCTCTCATCCGAGAAGCTTCTTCAGTTCAGAACTGAAGAAGCTGAAGGGGAGACGACAGAGATGGGAGCAGCAAAGTCTTCCTGAGACTCCGGGTTCGATGGGCTCGCCTTTCAGCTTCAGATATTAAATAATGATTTTATAATCCATTCTTTCTTTCTGCAGTTTTCTCAGCATTTTAAGCCAATCCTGTGAGTCAGCTCCGAGCTCGCTGTCAGCCTTCCTTCCAAACTCATTAAAGGCACAAGAAGCATCAGGTGGCCGTGGACAGGAGCACATTTTTCAGATTCTGGTTTCAGCTCCACTGCTAACACGCGGTGTGATTTATTACAGTCTGAAGTGACTCATATGCCCTCCATTCATCTGTAACAGCCGTCTTATCTCTGGCACACCGATGCCTCAGCCTAGCTCATCATAGACGAGTCCTTTCATGTGCACCTGATTGTTGCTGCCACGTTTGGTTCCAAGTGAGAAAACAGAATATTGGTTTAGCAGAATTCACTCAAAGATACTTCATGTAAGAGCTGATGAGACAAAGTTAATGGTCAAAGATGTCATCTGTATATTTAGTAACGAGATGACAGGCAGCACCACATGAATGGTTTCATCTTACATAAACTGGAAGTAGCTGGCCTTTTCCTCCTTGAGTCATATAATTGGTCATACTTTTAGTACCGTCTCATACAGTCCAGCGATGTGTTGCCGACCCATATGTGCTGTGATTTCTACGTCACTTAGCGTTGCTTTGCTTACATTTGACCTCTGATTTTTTTGATCAAATCCGATTTTTTTGTCTGCTCGTTCACACTACAAATAAAATGCGACAGCAAACGCGCTCTAGTGTGAACGCTCAAAGCGGCGCATGCGCAAAAGAAGCCGTCACACACAACGCGCTCTGTTTAGACCCAGAGCAACAGTATGTTTGACTGATGGCCTTAATATAAAGACTTCGGACTTTATAATTTTTGCTTTAAGTTATTTTGTTATTTACATAATAATGTAAATAACGTAATGATGATCCTTATTGCTGTTTCAGAGGATAGCTGCAGATTATACAGTACAAAGAAAATGTTCACGTTTCTCCAACGTTGTCTTCTCAGCAGTTTCACTGGATGGACAGGAAGCGTTCGTGATGTCTTCTCCGGAGCTGATAATTGGCGTCTGTCTTGTGTCGGTGACGTAAAAGACGGATTTAACGTGACGTGACCATCAAACAGCAGTCGCTTTCTGAAACATCGGATATGTATCGGATTCAGCACCACATACCAAAGTGACCCACATCGGATTTGAAGATATCGGATTTGATGCGCTTTCGCCTGCAGTGTGAACGTAGCCTTGGTGAGGTACGGCGTGACAAGCTGCTCTAATAAACCCAGCAGAGACTCATACGTGCTGGAAGAGTGAAAACGTGGCACTTCCAGATTATTCTAAAACCTCTGCAGCCAACAGTTTTAGTTTGTATTCTCTCAGCTGTAGACTCTGTTAAAGGATTTAAGTATTTAAATATTAGAAAATGAATTCAAACAAGCTTAGTCTACAAGTACAGCGTGGGTGTCCGTGTTTAGGATCAGATACAGGAAGAAAAAAAAATACTCGAGGAATAAAGCTGCATCAGGAATGTAGATGTATCACTGATGCTAAAGATTTCATACACTGAGAAACATTAAACCCTCCTACTCGTCCACAGAGGACTGAGCGATGTTCCAGGAATGGTGATGGTGGAGAATTGATTGGTTGGCAGGCATCGATAATCAATAATCAAGTTCCAGGTTCCCCAAACAAAGTGACTCTCTCCTCCACGTGTTTGTGGCAGGATGAATGTTATTTCTCGGTTCAACCCACTTTCAGCCTGGCGCATTAGTATAAATAGTGGCCATTTGAGCATTCCTGGATCGCTTACCTGTGATCTCCTTTTTGGTCACCTGACTTCTCTTTGGCGTTGCAGAGATCATTCTGAAGCCTCCGTCGTGGCTGGTTGGTGTGTACTCATTGTAGTGCGTACATTACCTTACTTGGTGGTAAACAGATATTGTTTTTAGGTCATAGCTGTGGAAGCCTCCTATGAGCCACTCTGCTCATGTTTCATGACGCGCTTTACTCGGTACGTAATTCAATTTTGTTACGATCTCTGCCTTTTATTCTTTTATAGTAATTATTATGCTTTGCAGGAAGTGTGGGCCTTAGTTTTATGCAACGCCACGCTAACTGAAGTGCTGCTGCTTTGCTTTGACCGTCTGTTCCTGTTGCGAGGTTTCTTTTCCTGCTGCTGCCAGCTTTTCAAAGTGGACGTCGGCGTGGACAGCAGCCATATGCATGCCGGTTATGGGAGTCAGCTGGCGTACATATTAATTACCCGGATGATTAACTTATAGTAGTATTTAACTCATTGTTGTATTTTGTCATGTTTCTCAGGTCTTTGTCTGAATTTCTACGAACATTATTGCTGAGGATTGTTTTATTGCATTGGAGTCACACTGGGTTAAATATGTACACTTGGGTTTTAAGGGGTATTTATTATTTTCTTCTTTTTTTTGGGTTGTATGGAAGCCCCAAACGCAATTTCATTGTTCTTGACAATGACAATAAATAAATACTACTACTACTACTACATACTATAGTCGGGCAGACGGCAAGTTGGAGCAACGCGGCGATTCCGTTTGCTCCAGATTTTAAAGTTTGAACCCGATTGTATGTTGTTTTTTAGTTTGGATTTCTGTTACGCCACTGGTGGGAGGCCCTTTTTCTTGCTGCAGATCACCAGTGTGGTCCTGCAGTTGGGTTCTCCTCCAGCGCTACATTAGTTTTGTTGTAATATATTAAAATTTTCTTTATTCTTTTATTCAGATGCGGAGTGCCGACGTGGAGGAGACTAGGGTGGTGGGATCCTTTGAGTGTACACACCTGCCTTGTTTAGCTTATTTGTGTGATTTTGTGTTGCACTTGTGTGTTGGTGTGTTTTCTTTTTGAGTTTGTGCGTGGCATCCCTGCCCCTCCACTGGTAAGCCTCAGCTCTGAATACCTTTTTAAGCATATCTGTACATGGATATTTATGATTGTGCTTTTATACGGTGTTTTAAATAATTATTAATAAATTGTCAACTTGTTTTACCATTGAACCTCGTCTCTGTACCGAGTATAACAAACCTAACTGCCTTCTTGGTGATTAGTGTTACTTCCAGTATTCTCTGGGCGAAATTCCCAGAGTGGCGTTGTCTTTTAAACTGAAGAGTATTTACTTTATTCTCACCTCGTGCTGCCACATGTTAAATAGAGGAACAAAGGCTTAAATGTGTCAGCACTCTGGCTTACCACTGCACGAAGGAGCTTGCACATGGCTGCAGCTGCTCATTTTTCCAGCACAAATTAATCATTAAGCAACACAATCGACACATCAGAGTTACACCTGTTAAAGTGTTGGGGGGTAAATTTAGAACTGGGTTCTAAATGTCCTGTTCCAAATTGGGCGCTCCTGGTTTCTGGATAGTCGGGGAGGACATCCTGCCCTAAACCCCACCAAGCAGCATGAACGTTGTTTTATGTCATTCACATTATTCACTGAGAAGCAGCTCAGTGCCTCCTGCTGAACTGCAGCCAGTTTGTTAGCGAGGCCAACAAGAAGTGCAATACCTCCCCTCAACTGACTGCACACTCATAAGAAAAATTCAATAATGAAAGCCAATATTTTGATTAGAAGAATAAAACTAGAGTGTCTGAAACTGTAACCCAGTAAATTCGATTGCTGTATTGTGCCGGCCTCTGAGCATTCACTGAATTACCTCTTAAATGTCCTGAGAACAAAATCACATCTCTCACAGCTCAAGTTGAAAAAATAGAGGACTGAATAAAGAAGCATCTTCAGCTGTTTATTGAACACTGTGCAGGATTCATTGTAGCGACGACTTCCTCATTCAAACAAAACACACTGAAAAAGCCAGAACAGCAACAACACACACATTTCAGATTTAATGAGGAAGTCTCAGAGCAGAAAAGACGAATGATTCTCTTTTCAAGTCTGCTCACACTTCACCTTTTATTCAACAGACGTAAATGTGAAGAGCTCCGACAGCCCCCCACCCCTGCTCGGCTCTGCCCCCACCACATGGCAGGTGGGGAAAGCTGAGGACGATTAGGTGGAGGAAGGCAGAAAGCCTGGGCTTAGCACAGAATACAGCAGTGGACCAAACGTTCTGATGAATCACCTTCAGATTTCTTCACACTGAGCTTTTTAGATGAACTAGCTTATCTGTCACGGCCTTATAAGCCCAAAACAAAAAAATAGTCCAATAAAGGCCGTGGGTGCAAACAGGTGGTTCGTCCCAGAATGCACTTCCAGCTTGATTCTTAAAAAAATAAATAATTTAAAAAAAGGTTTGTTTCGTGCTAAAATATAAACCTAAAGTCAACCCAATCATTTTTGCAACTTGGACATGAAAGTTAAATTAATTTGTTCCCAAGTGTTCAATCTTAAACCCTCAGTCGTTTCCATCGCACCCCATCCGTTAATCCATCAATTAATGGGAGGCTTTTCCAAAAGCAAGATTACAGATTTAAATAGCAAATCTAAAAGTTCTTACTGTTCCAAATTATGATTCATAAGAAGTAAGCAAAAATGGCCACAGCATTATAGCTGAAACACCAGCACGGTCTAGCTGCTTCCCTGCTCTGTGTGTTTAGTTACTCCTCAGACTGGAGTCGGTGAATTGCAGCTCGACCCCACACCACGCAGAGCACTGTAGGCAGCCAGGCTCCTGTAGACTGTGGCCCTGTTAGCTCTCCCCCAGCAGGACTTTCAGAGCAGCTGGAAATGAAGCCCTATGAACTGCATCCTCACTTACCCGAAGTCTCAACCTCAGCGGCTGCTGGTCATCAGCAGAGAGGAGGCGGCGAGAGATCCTCAGTGATGTCATCAGGACATATTCTGCACATTAGCTGATTCTTTGTTTACAAGCCTCTGAGATGTAGCTGAAGCAGGCATGATGGTGCGCTGGAGAAACCTGGAGTCACAAGAGCAGAAATTTCTGACGCTCTCGTGGTTAAAGGAACTTTAATCATCCTTTCAACACATCAAGTTTACTGATACATGCGGCAGGTCCAATGTCATCAATGCAGTCGTCGATGAGCAGTAAAGGAGATGCGCCAGGAAGCGTTGCAGCGTTCCCGTTTCTCAGGTCTGTAGCATCCTAGACTTTGATCAGCTTTTATGTGCAGTGACATGGAGAACTCCATGAGCTACAGCGTCTAACGAGAGATTCCACTTCCTTTTTCATAACCTCTTTTTATTGGGTTAGCATGTTATGTACGCTGTTTAATATGTGCAGGATTGGTGAGAACAACCACCACAAACCTTTAACAAACAGAAGAGATGCCCCAGAGCAGGAGGAGAGAGCCCAGCCACAGGCAGGCTTCGATCCTGGCTGGTAACACTCAGTAAGACTTAACTAGTGAATGAGACAATAGACCCATCAGGAAAGAGCTGACTGATCTGAGAGATCATGTGAGCAGCGGTTTCACTTCCTCGTACTCCTATACAGTGGCGTGTCCAGCGGGGTGGCACAGGCCATCCCCCAAACCAGACTGGCCACCCCAGGTGCCACCCCGAAGCTAAAACAATAAAATTCAATCAAATATCAAATGTACGATCATGTTAATGATGATAATAATGGATTGGATTTATATAGCACTTTTCAAGGCACCCAAAGCGCTTTACAATGCCACTATTCATTCACTCTCGCATTCACACACGGGTGGAGGCAAGCTACGGTTGTAGCCACAGCTGCCCTGGGGCAGACTGACAGAAGCCAGGCTGCCATATCGCGCCATCGGCCCCTCTGGCCAACACCAGTAGGCGGTAGGTGAAGTGTCTTGCCCAAGGACACAACGAGCAGGACAGAGAGCCCAGGGATCGAACCGGCGACCTTCCGGTTTTCACAGTGAAGCTCAGATATCCGAGTGTAAGTGAATGCAGCATCGGCTTCTGCACTATGAGCATCACCTTAGCAAAGGTAGGAGAGCCAAGCACGAAAGACGGTGTTCTGGGAATCCATCCTACCTGGCAAACCATCCTACCCGTTGTTTCTGCGCATGCGCACAACACGAAATTCAGTGGCAAACCGTGCTACCTTTGTGAATGTCACCTACAAGCATACTTAAACGGCTAAAATTTAGTGGCAAATCGTCCGACTTTTATTAATAACAGCTACAAGTATACTCTGATGGGCAAAGTTAGATGGCAAACCGTCATACCTACTTAAATTTAATCTCTCT